CGGGGGCAGAGCCGGGTCCTGCCCCTCCCGGGAGGGAGCAGGGACCCGGGGGACAGGGAGGTGTCCTGGGCTGGGGACAGCCGGAGCCCCTGGGTGCAGGGCTGGGCTTTGCGCGCCCTCCTAGCAGAGGATTTTCTTTTATGGGTCCCCTCCTTCAGCCAAAGGTGTTTGCTGGTCTTCAGGAAAGGTGAGACCCCTCGGAGACAGAAGGTGCCAGCACCCGGGGATGTCCCTGGGGACGGGTGACACGGTGAAGGCGCAGCCAGGCTGCGCTGAACCTGCGCTGGGGTGGCTGTAATCCCCCCCAGCACGGTGTCAGGGCCACGGCCAGGCTTTGCAGTGCTCAATAAGGGGAAATCTGCCAGTGTCACCACAAACGTGCTGGTGTCTCCAGAGCCTCCTCGCTGTCCTGGGGACCCTGAGGAGATGCTTGGCCGTCTCAGGGTCCCAGCCTGCTTGGGATTTTGGGATGGGAGGAGTCGTCGTGGCTCAGTGCTCCAGCCCTCTCTTGCAGTGCCAGCCTTGCAGCTCTTACGACCTTGCAGCTCTCTTGCAGTGCCAGTGGCTTGGTGTTCAGAGCCCTCGCAGGCATCCGTAGAGTAGCTGTTGGTGTCCTTGTGCTGCACCAAAGTTCCTGGGTTTAGTCCTGTGGAGCAGGGCAGGGGTAGTCCTTTCAGTGTCCAGTGTTGGGAGGCGCCTTGGGTTTCCTGGGGGCGGAGGGGTTCGGCGTTTGCTCCTCCGCGTGCCGTGCTGGCTGATATCTAGGCCAGCTTCATGGGATTGGGAGGTTGGAAAGTGTTTGCCCAAGAAGCACCATCGTCATCTCCCTCCTCAGACGTGGACCGACAGTGTCAATCGGGCCAATAAGATGGCCCTGCGCGCCTGGGCAAAAGAAACCGGCGTCGACCTGGTGCAGGTCAACGGGCAGAGGCGATACGGTGGCCCCCCACCAGGTACGTGAGGAGAGCATCTCTGCGCCACGGTGCCCTGGGAGCTCGGGCCCCCTGTGGGCATGGTGGTGAGGTGGGTCTGACTGTGTTGTGTGTGCCTGCAGGCTGGGTGGGCAATCCCCCGCCGGCCGGCACGGAGGGGTTCATCGGGAAGCTGCCGC